GCGGTTCACGACAATCGCTGCACAGCCGCCATTTTGTAAAAAAAATAACGAAAAAATTTTTTTTCTATTCTCCAAGAGTTTCATAATCCAATAATATATTATTTATATACTTTACATCTCAAATGTCCTTTAAAAAAAATCATGAAAAAAGCCTTGTTTTTTTTGAGCATTAGGTGGATTACCCAATTATGATAATTATACAAGTTTTTGACTATATCAATATGGCTAATTAATATTACCATTAGTTTTTTATTTTACTCCACCTTCAAGTTTTTTCATTTTTACCCTAGTTTCCTTTTCTCTACTGTCTAATATGTTTGTCATATTATGAGACCAACCAGTTACATAGCCCATTGATGTTATATACAGGGAACTTCTATGTTCTTTAACAGAGTCAGTAATTATTTTTTGTGTCAGGTCTATACTACGCTGGAACACTAAAGCTACCTACTTTAACTGAATTTAAATAATGATATAAGTGACCTAAAATATAGGTGGAATGATTTATTTGGTCAATTACAACTAATGTTTTTTGGCTAAAGTATTAGAAATACATTTTCTAACACTTCCTATTACTTTATTAGCAATAGTTTTATCATTAATATCAAGAAGATTTTTATATGTCAGACCTTACAATAGCCATATTACAATATGTAAAAAGTACTTTATGCAAAATCGAATTACTTAAGTTATGATTTTTATTTATATTTTCTATCTTTAATCAGTCTTAAAACTTAAGTCATAACTTAAAAATAAAATTTTGTCCTTGAAATTTCTTGTATGACGAAATTGTGTAACTTTACGTACATAAATAATTATTGCAATACTAAAATAAAAACCAAGTGTTTCTCTCAAAACTCATTTGTTTGTATTAAAAATGTATAAAATGGAAGATTAACGTCGATTATTATTACTTTAGTATCGTTATACTATAAATAACAAATTTATTTTACAGATTTAATAGTCTTCAACTATTTAATTATTTATCTCAAAAAATGTTATTTCGATTCTTCATTTTAAATTTTTATAATTTTTGGATTTTAAATCAATGTTCGATGGTTTTCTGTAGTTCAAGTTCAAATTCAGACATAGATGACAAATATGTTATCAATGCATTCAATACTATTCGTCAACAGATTGGATGGGATTTTGATAGGTCATATGGGTTCTGCATCGGTGAAAATAGTTATCAGTATTATAATATGAAAGAAATTATGTCAGAAATTAATTCAAGTAATTTTTTAGAAAAAATACCAAGGATAAACAAATTAATAATTCTGAGATACACTGAATATTTGAAAATATTTGGACGTTTATTGAACAGTTTTGTTCAGTTTTGCTACAGGTGTAATAAATACCATTCAGAAGAAGATACAATTCATTGCTCTAATGAGTTGCGGAATATAGTAACCATATCAAATATAATGTTTTTAAAATTTTTATATGTCACTTTTTTCTTAGATCATATCAATTATTATCTAAATACGAATTATAATTTAAATTTAAAAAGTATTATTGATGAAATAGGGTATTTGTATAAAGTGACATTAAAACAATCTTGTAAAATTATAAAAATAAAAACTACTAGGAGTGTACTAAAAAATGTGAAAGATTTTGTTTTTTATACATTAGACAAAAAAATATCTGTACTTGACCAAATAAATAAATCCGCGATATATAATAATCACAATTCAGCTCATGCATCTTTAGAGGTCCAATATAGTATGAACCGGTCACAAGAAATAGTTACTGACACTATTGAACGACATAAAACTATTTTAATTAAATTTTATAAGGAGACACTTCAAGATGGATATTACGATTTGGGCTTTGACGAATTGATTGTTGATAATACTAAGCAGTAAGTTTTTATATTAAAAATAAAAAAGTGTACCTAAAAACTGGACTAACATAAGTTATTTTTTTAAAGAAAANTGTTACTAAGCAGTAAGTTTTTATATTAAAAATAAAAAAGTGTACCTAAAAACTGGACTAACATAAGTTATTTTTTTAAAGAAAACATAAAAATAGAAAAATGTAACTTTTTTAAATCGTTACAAAGATTTAAATTAAAGTACGGCTAGTTTATAATACCTTACTTTTTTTCTGTATATTATGTCGAAATACGTTATATGATACAAAGTTAAGTTTGGACTTAAACTCTACAAACTCTAATAAAATATGGAAAGGATCATTGTAACCAAATTTTACTAATATAAACAAAATTAAATTTCGTAAATAAATATTTAATAACCTGAAAATCATATTTTTTGGAGTCCGATAGAATGGTCATTAGTAGTATAAGAAAAATATTTTTTTAATCATATTTTAGGTCTTCGTAATCATAGCATTTATTCTAATACATATAAAAATAAGGTATGTAAAATTATTTTACATTTATTTAACTTATTAAGTCAAACCTAACACGTATATCAAGATGGTTGAATATTTAAATTTGAAGTCAGATTTTTTTTATTTATCACATGAGATATCCTAATTACAATAAAAAAATATATATAAAGTTCTTTTATTATAAATATGATATTTTCTAAAAAAGAGTTATTACAAAAATTTGATTAAATTTAAAAAAACCCAGCACGAGGGGGGTCATGGCACAGTGGTGACGTGGCATAGTTGGATCAAGTATAATGATCTGCTAGTTCCTTATTAATATCCTGATTAAGATAAAGTATGTCGAATGAAAAAGGGATTATTAAAAAATATTATTTCTCATAAAAAAATTATGTTGATCCATATACTTTTCAATAAGTTATAGCATTATAGAGTTAAAAATTAAAAAAATAAAATCGAGAATTTTCACACAATAATAGCATTTGGTAGCCATTTTCACCGTGAAAACAAAATAAAATTTGAATTTTTTTTTTGCATAATAAATTACATTACATTAGCTTTAATTTAAGATATATATAAAAGTGTCAGACTTTCCGGAAAACTTTCAAAATTTAAATTTAAAAAGTTAATTTTTTGTGAAAAAGTTGAATCCTCCCCTGTAGGCAGGTAAAAAGTCAGATTTATAAAAAAAATATACCAAATGAAAGGTAATGATATCATGCATCTATATTTAAAAAAAACCCAGCACAGGGGGGTCGCGACACAGTGGTGACGTGACATAGTTGGATCAAGTATAATGATATCTGACAGTGATTAAAATCACTATCATAAGAAACGCTTCGATGCAAATCAGTAGATAGTGTTTAATT